GATAGCAAGTGAACAATAGAGAGGATGTTAGTGAGAAACAGATATGGTTTATTATCTGTTGATGATGACGTGTATAGTATTCTCAACTGGACTGGTCTGGGAAGTATTTCATGATGGGTGAAGTCTTTTAACAAGCAAAATGAGAAATAGTGACTGACTGTTTTTAAAAAAATTATAATAATAATAATTATTGGGAAATGCATGGAAAAGACATTGAATGATAAAGCGGGGAGATTGATGTCTCTGTATTGACCGACATGCATGGCATTCCCTTTTGAAAAAACGATGGAAGTCAATGTAAAGTTATATGTAATCCAATGTAATATAAAGAAGATTATGATGATAATATAAATAAAAAAAAATTAAAAAAAATAAAAAGAAATGACCCCCCAGTGGGGATGGCCATGCCACAATCCCTTCTCCTCCATTCTCCTCTCAGGATCTTGGGCATGCACGCACACGCGCCAGGTGTGAGTTTAAGCCACCAGGTCCGGGACGCAAACCGCAGTCGACAACGTGGGAGTCCGGCGACATAGCCATTATGCTAACTGCTGGTCCAGCCCAGTGTGATTTTCAAGCCATGCAGTTGGGGACTTGAACCACAGTTGGCCATGCAGGAATCACGTCACCTGCAGACCCAGAAACTCCAATCTTTTAACTACAGTTCTCGAGCTCTCATTTTCTTCTTTTGTATTCACTGTCTTGGTCACATCATTCCCCTAGTCACCATGATTCAAAACCACATTATTGAGGGGGGTCTTCAAAAAGTTCATGGAAAATGCATATCACGAAAAAAAATCTATGAATGAATTTATATTCTTTGCACCAAAATAAACTCGTATCCCCTGCTATCTCTCTCAAACCTACAAGGTCTCAAATTTACCAGATAAACATCATTGATACTATCCTAATATGAGGACACAGAGGCTTAGAAAAGTGACATTATGGCTTGTCAAATGTAACTTAGAAAGTGGTGGAACCAGGTTTTGAAGCTACTCTTGTCTTTCTCTAAGGTCTATGCTTGTCCAACTATTATGTTGCAACCTTAATCCAAATCCATATTCATCTTTTTACTCAGGCACCTCTGGGGCTAAGAACTGACCCTGGAGGATGAAGCACATGTAACTGACCCCTATTGAATCAAATGTACCACCCCAGACTCATTTTTTCCCCCAACCTATAACTCTTCACCTACCCAAATCTAGTTTCACATACTCATATATCACTTCCCTTACACTCCCCACATACATAAGTAATTCTAAATAGTGAGAGCTAAAAAGAATTTCAGCAGCTATTTAGACCAATACCCCCATTTTGTGGATATGGCAACCCATGGATAAGGCATCTGAATCCCACATGGTTGACTGTGTAGTTCAAGTCCCATACCCAGTGGCTTGCAAAACACATTGAGCACATGTATGTGGATGTCTCAAATTCGAAAAGGTGGGAGAGATGAAGAAGAAAATATTGCAGCATGATCATTCCCCATGGGGAAGTGTGATTGTTTGCTTTCCTTCTCTCTGTCTCTTTGTTCTGATTAAACCACGAACCCTCTGGAAAACCAACACAACAGAAGACAGATGTAGGAAGAGATTTGTCCAAAGTCGTACAGTGAGTCTTTCACAGAGTTGAGATTAGAGCTCAAACCTTCTAATCACTTACATAGTGCCCTTGCCATTGCCTCATATACTCCTCTTCCACTCTGATGCTTCTCAATGCACTATTCCATTACTGTAACCACTCTTCCTTTGTCCAAAACTCTCCACTCCTACTGCTATTGGGTAAAAACTAGAAAGTTGCTACTTACCTAGAATACTTCATGATTTCCTATAGAAACCTTACTCTCCTTTAACAAATCTCTCCTTCATTCCCTGATAAATTTGCTGAAAATTTTTTCTTAGTATCTTTAGGAAGAAAAGCAAGCTCAAAAGTCTACCTATCAGGACCAGCAGTTGGCATAATGGCTATGTCGCTGGACTCCCATGTAGTCAACCGTTCGAGTCCCAGACCCAGTGGCTTAAACTCATGCCGGGCATGTGTGCCTGCCCAAGATCCCGAGAGGAGAATGGAAGAGAAGAGACTGCAATATGGCCATCCTCCCTGGGGAGTGATTTCTTGCTTTCTGTGTCTCTGTCTCTCCCTGTCTTTCTGGTGAGCGCATGCACCCTATAGCAAAAACTTCTACAAAAAAAAGTCTACTCTAAGTCATTTTATGTTAGAAATGGAGAAAATTAAACCCAGAGAAATATGCACAAAGATACCCAGCAAATTAATGGCAGAGTCAAGAAAGAACCTGGATTCCTGGAGTTCTAGTATACTATCTCATCCTGTATAGCAAGATACCTCACTTGAAAGACCTATATTATGTCTCCAGCTCAGAAACCCAATCTCCTGTTGACCATTACTGGCACTTATCTGCTATACCTCAAAGGTCAGAAATGTTGGATCTCACCTAGCAAGTGACTGTTCACTTGACAACTAATTAACCAAGTGCCAGGCTCCTGAGGCACCATCTCAGCAGTAACAAAGGTAGCTGGAAAGACATGAGCCACATCAGTTCGATGTCCACGGATGTTCAGCATCTGTCCATGGAAGAAAGCTGTATGAACATCCACTTCATTGCCCATGCCAAACAAATGCCAGGCCACACGCTTCTGTGCACACATGCTCAACTCTGGTAAATTCCCAAACACAAAGCCATTAATTGCTGAAAAATAAAATCCAAAGAAAATATCAGAGTTAGAAAAGACAAGACCAATAGTAGAAGCCTTACCATTTGACAAAAATAATGTTAGGCTGTTAGGGAATTTATGATATATCTGTCTATACAAAAAAAGTGCATCATGACTTTACAGACAATCCAATAGATAACATTTATTAATAGATGAGGTTTTAAAGAGGATACCATGTTGACTATATCTATTATTTCCCTGAAATAAAACAAAAAGTCCTGGGAAATAGGGAGATATCCCTAGGCTCACTCAAAAAAAAAAGAAAAAGAAAAAGAAAAGAAAGCAAAGATTCATAGAGGTGAAGTTACTTTTCTCCCAAGCTAACAAAGCTATTATGCTGTAAAGCTATTATGTGGTAAATCCAATATTCCAAACCAGCAATAAAAGGAAGATCCCTAAGGTTGTAGAGTTTTTTTGCAGGCTATTCTTTTTATTTTCAGGCTGGTTTTCTTCTGAAATTTCCACAATACAATTGCCAAATTAGCTGAATAATTAGCATGGCTATTATAATCAACTGACATAAAACTCAAGAGAAATTTGAGCTACCCAAGCCATCCTTTCTATCTTTTCTCTGAATTTTTACTTCTCCTTGGGACTGTCTGACTTTGAGCATCATGACCCCTGCCACCAAAAATAAGTAAATTCCTTCCTTAATTAAAAAAAAAAATCAAAGTGTTTCTATTCCAGGAATCAGTTCTCCATTCATGCCTGAGGGATTTGTGCCTTTAATTTGCTTTTAATTATTGTCATCAGGAAAGTCATGACATATTTTTGCATAGAAAAACAGGAAAATATGTCATGGGTCACCAATCAACCTAAAAATTTGGTAAACTTCCTTATAGACATAAGTCTAGAGTGGAATGGGAAATAAAAGTAAGGTAGCTTGTCTGTTGATTATACTGTGTATGATAATATCTTTAATTGGATTGGTGTGCAGTACATTCATGCTGGGAAAATTCATTTAACAAGCTGTGGTGATGTACAGTGATTGAATATAGAAAATAAATTTTTTTTTTTAAAAAAAAAGTAAGGTAGCTTAAGAGCAATATTTTTTTCTCCACAGTTATAACTCTTCTAGCTTGCATATCTTTTAAAACAAAGCAATATTAATTAAATAACTCAGCAGACAAGTCTCACCAAAGTGACAGAACATATGGTATATAATTTTGGAGTCAACATCCTTGGCTATTCCACATCATGAGGCAGAGTTACCTAATGACAAGAGCACAGCCTATGCAGTCAAGGATCTAAAGGGAAATGTTAGTTGTCATTTATTTGTAGCATAATGTTAGAAGCCTCAGTATCCTCACAGGTAGAACAGAGAAAACTCACTTCATATTTATGATCCTGTGAAGATTAAAAAGAACTAGATATATGAAAGCACCCATCAAACAATAGATGCAGTGCAGACCCTTCATAAATGTTCACTTTCACAATATGGCCACTTCCTCCCAGCTCACCATGCATCCTGTTGCTTTCCTTAAAGGCCTCATCTTCTTTGTCCACTGAGGCAGAGTCTGAGCAATAAGTAGCAATGTTCTCATCGAGATGCCAGCTAAGGTTCTCATCTACCACACTGAAGAGCAGGAAGAAATCATGGTCCATATCGTGCCGCTGAGGAGGAATGGCCCCATCGAGGGCTCCTAGAGCAAGTAAGAAAGGCACCCTTGAGAACCTTTTTTTCCTTAGCAACAGTAAGCTGCAAGGGGGTAGTCATAAGAAAGGATAGGAAAAAAAAGATTCTTAAGAGTCTGTCAGACATCGCTTTTTGATTTTTATTTTCATTTTCAAATTCCTCACATAAAGCTACCAATTCAATTGAACTTAGGATTTAAAGTTAGGACATGCAGGATCTAGAATAACTCTTTCCTACTATCTCTTCAACACAGGGTCCAGACCTGATCACATTCCTATAACATCGTAGTCTTCAGGCTTGCATATTTCTTGAGTATATTCTATTCCCAACTAAGTCTTCAATTCTCCCTAAACTCTGACAACCACACTGTCAGTCTGTTCTATACCTAAACTTTTACCATACCTTACCTCAGTGTGATGTGACTCCCATAATGGCTAATTAAAAATTTTAAGAATAAATAAGAAAAAAAGCCAGAAAGAAAAAAAAGTTATTTTGTTTTGTTGCCAATGTTGCTCTTTTTTTTTTAGAGAAAAGGATAATGAAATAGAACAATAATAGTGGAAAGGGAACTTGATAGGGCTTCTTACTGCTAATAAACAAAGTTGCTAAATTGACACTCCTCAGGTTGCTGTCTAATATGTACATGGTTTAACCATATCTCTGCTTCTCCTAGATATTCCAAAATGCATCTCATAGCTTATCCTCTGGTTTTGTACCTCTTTTACAAGTGATGAGGGGTCCAATGAGGCCAGTTGCAATGTCCCGTGGAGCATCTACATGAGAATGGTAGATCCAAGTGAGGCATGCTGGGTCAGCATCAGTAGGTGCATGACCTTCTGGAATGGTCCAATTGTAGATATGACTGCCTCCCGGGGGAACAGAGTCATCAGCTTTCAGCCGCCCAGAGGAGCCATCCGGGTATAGGGAGCCTGGAAAATGAAATTGTGCATGCCAAGTCCCAGAGTGAGTGAAAAGGGAGAATGAAAGATATAGAATCCAAGAAAGGGCTGACATATGGGATACCCAGATCCAGTCTTATGTAATATAATGTTCTAAGGAACAGTACAGTGTTCCTTCCAATCTGAGGGGAGATAATATTCAGGTAACATTCAGCCAAAGAACCCAAGTCCTCACATAAACTGTGGGTAGAAAGATACCAGCCACTGGAAAAGAGCTGTGACCAGGGAAAGTGCTAGCTGGCCTTGTCAGTAGTGCCCTAGTGCAAAGTTGGTGGCATGGAAGCAAGGGAAAGGACAGAATTTCCTTCCTTCAAGAATTCACTTTGGGGGACCAGCAGTTAGCGTAATGGCTATGTTGTTGCTGGACTTCTATGTAGCCGACTGTGGTTCGAGTTCCAGACCCGGTGGCTTAAACTCATGCTGGGCACATGTACATGCGTGCCCAAGATCCTGAGAGGAGAATGGAGGAGAAGGGATTGCGGCGTGGCCATTCCCCCTGGGGGGGTGATTTCTCGCTTTTTCTCTCTCTGTCTCTCTCTGTCTTTCTGGCAAGCACACGTGCCCTATAGTAAAAAACCTCTCCAAAAAAAAAAAAAAAATTCACTTTGGAAAACAAAAAAGCAGCAGTCACAGAATTTCAGTCTAAACAATACTTAATGATCAGATGTCCACTTCCTTATCATATGAAAGAGAACGGTAAGGCACCATGAATTGTCCAAAGTCACACAGAGTTATTGGCCATGCCAGGATCATCCCTCTCTTGCTATCATTGTCAGTGTTACAGACCATTGGGGCTGGGGTACTGGGAGACACAGATGAATACGTTGAACTCCTGAAAAATGGATATTTCAAGGACCAGCAGTTAGCGTAATGGTTATGTCGCTGGACTCCCATGTAGTTGACCGCGGTTCGATTCCCGGACCGGGTGGCTTAAACTCATGCTGGGCACATGTGCATGCGTGCCCAAGATCCTGAGAGGAGAATGGAGGAGAAGGGATTGCAGCGTGGCCATCCCCCCTGGGGGGGTGTGATTTCTCGTTTTCTGTCTCTCTGCCTCTCTCTGTCTTTCTGGTGATCGCACACGCCCTATAGCAAGAAAAAGCTCTAAAAAAATGGATGTTTCAGAAGACTGACACTATAATAACCCTCCATTACATTCAAACACACTCCATTTAAAAAAAAAAACAGTATATTCAAATATTCTATGGAAATGCTATTCAAGTAACTTCTTGTGATGAAAGGCAGATCTGTGGTCAGAGAGGAATAGTTAAGTGCCCAAACCACCCTGTATGAAAAGCAGAAATGATACCAGTACAAAGTCATATTTACTCAGAATTTCTGCCACCTCAGATCAATAAGGAAGAAAATACTATTCTCACTTCCAGCTCTCATTAAGGAATAAAAGGAAAGTGGTATTTGTTGTTGTTGGGAGAAAGACTAGGGTGTTTTACCTTCTGAGTCCTTCTCATAGAAAACACCATGAGGGTGGATGGTATAAGAACGAGTGGCAAAATTCTTCAGGTGTATAAGGATGACATCTCCCACCTCAGCTCGTATCACTGGCCCCAGGAAGCCCAACCAGCCAGGCTGGGCCACTTCATCCGTGTATGAGTCATCCTTGTATTCTTTATAGATGGTCTTCTTGTAGCTTCTCCCTATCCTGTTCTTGTCAGACTTTAGGAAGCTAGAAGCCACTCTGAAAAGGAACAAAAGAAAACATCACAATTTTGCCACCATGTTCAAACTCTAGAGGTTTCTTTTCTAGAGGTTAACCAAAAACTTTCCATCTTTGTTTAGGACAAAACAAGAGAAAATGGGGTGTCACTGATCATAGCACAAGTGTTTTAGGTATAAAGGTTAAAAAATGGAAAGAAATCATTTAAGGTATATGATATTACTGATATATCACGTTTTTTTTAACTCACGAAATATTTTAATGTAGTTTGACATAATATTTAATAACAAGGAGACAATCAATTACAAAATGAATCTCCTTTAGTGATCAACTCACCATCAATGTGGCTTGACTTAGCATCATCTTGCTATATATTGGAGTCTTTAGTGCATAGTGGTTATGGCCACAAAATCCAGAGCCAGGACACCTGGATTAAATACCAACTCTGAAACTTCCATATTTGTGGGATATTGAGCAAATTACTTAACTCCCCTGTGCTTAATTTCCCCATCTGTAACACGAATACGACTAAAAGAATTAAAATAAATAAAGTGCTCAGTACAGTATCTATAAAATAGTAATAACTCAATATTGACTATCAATTCAAAGTATTAGGAATGGGGGATAATGAAGTTATTCCCTCAAGAACAATTTTAACAAAGAGGCTCTTGAGTTCAAATCTATATGTATAGTTTGTATCGAGAGAGAGAGAGAAAGAGATTATATAACTCTTCCTGGAGAGCTAAAGGCTTTGGAGAGACAAAATCAGTCATGGTCAAAAAAGGTTTTTTTAAATGTATTTATTGATTTTTTTCTCAACAGATATTTGTAAAGCACCTGCAAATTTATAAGACTAACAAATGTTAAATCCGTGGGATCTATGAGAAGCAGACGGGTGAGAAGAACACCAACTTTGCATCCACATTATAAGGTTCAAATCATAACTCTGCTTTTTACTAGCTGTGCAGACTTGGATGTCACTTGACATCCTTGAGCCTGTTTTCTCATATATAAGATGAAGATACTCATACCTTCCAGAGTTTTTGTGAGAAGTGAAACAAAGTAAGTAAATTTCTAGTATATTCCTGTCACGGAGTGTTACATAAGTGATAATCACACAATCATTTCCTTGATTCTAAGTCTTACCTTACTTTTTCAAATACCTAAAATCAGTATAGTTACATTAAACTATAAGAACACAATTCCACCACATACATCGTAAAACATTGTTTATGGGTCCAGCAGTTAGCATAATGGCACACGCGTCCTATAGCAAAAAACTCTCAAAAAAAATCACTGTGTACATGCCAGGTTTATTTCTATTTTTAAGCTAAATAGCTCTTATTAAATTATCATTGTGGGGATCAGCAGTTAGCATAATGGCTATATTGCTGGACTCCCATGTAGTGAACTGCAGTTCGAGTACTGAACCCGGTAGCTTAAACTCATGCCGAGCGCATGTGCGTGTGTGCCCAAGATCCTGAGAGGAGAATAGAGGAGAAGGGATTGCAGCGTGGCCATCCCCTCAGGGGATGATTTCTCGCTTTCTGTCTCTCTGTCTGTCTCTGTCTTTCTGGCAAGCACACGCACCCTAAAGCAAAAATTTCTCAAAAAAATTATCATTGTAAATTTCATCTTAGAATCAAGAAAATATTGAATTATTTTTAGGATCCTAAAAACATTGAGGCACCTCAGCATGGAAAAGCAGACACCATATAGGATGCTGGCTTTTGACTCAATAAGCCTTCTCTCCAGGAAACCTGTACATGGTCCAGAGCTATCAGGAGCTGGCTGCTATCATACCCAGGAAAGGGACTTAAAGAGTCTACATCATGATTTTGAGGATACCACCTCAACTCCAGCTCTAGTACCACAGGAGATTAAACCTACGTGTCACTGTCCAGAGACTGGTTCGTGATGATATTCTTTCCCTTGGGAGCATAGTCCCACTGCACATCCTGAATGCCCAGGTAGTAGATTCGAGTTGCTCCATCAGTTAGTCGAGGCCAAATGGGTTGCATGAACAGGAGAGCCCAGAGGAGGTGGCCTGGCTCCATGGCCCACATTACTCTGGGAAACAGGCAAATGAAAGCTGCTGCTGTGGAAGAAAGAGAACAAACAGACTTTACATGTGTCTGGAAAACTGAAGAGGCAAGAGCCAGATCAAGTGACAGAGAAAGCAAATGAAATTAGCCTAATTTTTCCACTTTACCTGATTCCTTTCAGTTCAACAAGTGTTCAGTCTACACATTAGACTTTAGAGAGCAAAGTTAAAAGTTCATCTGTGCTAATAATAGTGTATCACTGCCTTCAGAAGAAAAATATGAATCCAGTCTTTTGATGATGTAAAAGGAAGAATATACTTGGGCTCCAAGAAACAAGAAGCAGAGGGACCAGCAGTTAGCATAATGGCTATGTCAATGGATTCGCATGTAGTCGACCGCGGCTCACGTCCCAGACCTGGTGGCTTAAAACTCACGCCGGGCGCATGTGCGTGCGTGCCCAAGATCCCGAGAGAAGAATGGAGGAGAAGGGATTGCAGTTTGGCCATCACCCCTGGGGGGTGATTTCTCACTTTCTATATCTCTGCATCTCTCTGTCTGTCTGGTGAGCGCACACGCCCTATAGCAAAAACCTCTCCAAAAAAAGAAAAAAAAAGCAGGCAGCAGAAGCATGTCTCATTCGGTGCCTAAATAATCACTGATTTTCCATATGAATCTGTTTTCCCATCGGCAAAATGGAAAGACTCATGTTGACACTTCCCATAATCTATAAATTGTGTTTAAAAACAAATGAGGATTCACCTAGACATTTCCTAGTATATTTATAAACCCAAAATGGTAACAGCCAAAATGTACCTGAACACTAGAACAGATGAATAAATTGAATTTTATTTATACAATAGAATTTTATATATTTCAGGCTGGCTCCATGGTCTAGTGATTAGAGCAGCCAGATCTCATATGGTCTATCATGTCGTTTGAGTCCTGGACCCAATAGCTTGAGAAACTTGCACTCAAAATCCTGAAAGGAAAGAAATATGGAGAAGACGGGATTGCAATGTGACCGTTCCCTATGGGGGGGAGGGTGGGGTATGATTTCTCCTCTCTCTCTCTCTCTCTCAATTCCTTTCTGGCAAGCACAAGTGCCCCATAATATATATATATATATATATATATATCTGTCGTACAAATACTCTCAACTCAAAAAGAAAGAAAGAAAAAGAAAGAATAAAAAAGAATTCTACACAGTAAAAACAATGAACAGACTGTAAGTACATGCAATAGTATGGATGACTCTTACAAATGTAATGTAGCAGAAAGAAATCAGACACACAAGAATGCATACTGTATAATTTCATTTATGTAAAGTACAAAATCTAACAGAGGTAATCTATGCTGTTAGAAGTAAAGCTAGTCAGGCTGGCTAGGTAGCCTGGTGGTAAAAGGAACTGTATCCCATATGGTTGACCAGGATTCAAGTCCCAGACTCAACAGCTTGAAAAATAAGCCAGGCACATCTGTAAGTGTGCCAAAATTCCTGAGAGGATGAAAAATGAAAGAGAAGGAATTGTGGCATGATCATGTCCCACTAAGGAGTGTTTTCCCTGTTTCTCTCTGTCTCTGGTAAGCACATATAACCTCTGGAAAATATAAAGATTAGGAGGAGAAGAAGGAAGAAAAAGAAATGAACAGAGATGAAGATAAAGAAGAAAACAGTGTTTTCCCATGAGGTAGGAGAAGTGACTGGGAAGGAAAGAGGCTTCTGTTTCTTGATCTAGTTGTTGGTTATATGGGTGTTTCAATTTGTGAAATACATTGAACTATAAACTTTTTTTATAGTTTATAGTGCATTTATGCACTTTCCTCAGTGTGTGTTAAACTACACAAAAGGTTAAAAATAAACACAACAGAAAGTATATGAGGGAAATATTTTGAACTTCTCAGAAGCAATACTTTTTGCTGGTTCCTAAGGCTATGCATAAACCCATTTCATGGACCTAACACTGAGTCAAAATCAGATGCAAGACTATAACCTCTCATTTCAGTGCATAAAGGAGGATATTACACTTCTTAGGACAGGGTTAATGCACTTAATCATATCATACACAGCTAGAGTCAAATGCAGAAACACAGACATCACTTAAACAAACATATACATACACTTCCATACGCATGCACAGTCTTACCTAAAAGTATACATGCACTTGCTTGTATTTCCACATAGAGCCACACCATCACACAGAGCCCTAGTCAGCTTCAGAATATTAATAATTATAATAATAAAATTGTTACTTCTCATGTGTGCATGATACACCTATTCTAAGATTTTACATAAACTAAATCATTTAATTCTCACAACTACCCTATGAAGTAGATGACATGATTACCTCCATATTATAGTGGAGAAACTGCAGAAAAGAGATATAAAGTAATTTGTATAAGGTCATCTAGTTAAAAAAGAATAAAGTTGGAATTTGAGTTCGGAAAGTATGTCTCCAGTTTCTATGATTGTAAGTATATATTATGATTATGGTTACGATAACTTAAGAAACAGAAATACATACATACATATACACCTAATCAATTGCATTCTTGATAATGATGATGATATCTACCATTTATTGAGAGATTATTGCATATTAAACACATGTTCAGTCCTTCATGCAAATTGTCTCACAAAGTCCTCAACCTAAGTACATGAAATAGAAACTATTAACCAAAACTAGTGATTCAACGATATACACAAACTCACGTACGAATAGGAAATCCCCAAATATTCATCCTGGTTAGGGTAGATATTTACCCTAATTAAGAAACAGACCTGCATGGGACCAGCAGATGGCATAATGGTTACATCGCTGGACTCCCACATAGTGACCACAATTTTGAGTCCTGGTCCCAGCGTCTTAAAATTCATGCCTGGTGCATGTGTATGAATGTCCAGAGTTCCAAGAGGAAAGTAAAGGAGAAAGTATTGCAGCACAGCCATCCTCCTAGGGGGGGTAAGGAGAATGGAGAAGGGACTGTGGTATGGCCATCCCCCCAGGGGGTGATTTCTCACTTCTGTCTCCTTGTCTCTCCGGTGAGTGCAGGCATCCTATAGCAAAAATTTCTTTAAAAAAAGAAAAGAAAGAAAAAAAGAAACCTGAAGACTTTTTTTTTTTTTTTTAAACAAACTCAGGTCCCTCCATGCACATGCACAGCAGTGGTCAAGTGTTCATCCATAGGCTCCACATCACATTTGGCAAAAAGTCCTTTAGCTAAAGAGGACGTGTGTTGGGGTTGTTCTTTCTAAAACCTGGCTCTCTCACTAACTAGTTGCATAGCCTTATTGATTACTTAACTATTCTTAACATGTTTCCTCATCTGTAAAATGAGTATTATAATATCAGTCTTAGATAAATAAATCATGAAACTTAACTGAAAGGGCCCCAGTGTATTAGTGTTTGGAATATAGCAGACAGTAACTGCTGGTTTCCCTTTTCTTTCTCCCTCCTGGCTACAGCTGTTCATTTATCCTTACAGGCTTCTACACACTATACTTTCTATATTTCTATTCTATGGGCTAACTTAAATCCCAGCTTCACCAGAAGGCCACCTACCTCTAGCCTCTCCCTATCACTGTCTTGGAAGGACTATGTACTCTCTATAGCACCCAACTGAATTAAATAACAATTTATATTACTGTTATAAAAGCTGCTTCATGAACTGTCTTTGCTTCCCAGACTGGACATAAACTCCTTCAGAGTAGATGTCATGTCTTAGGGGACTCTCTGGGTATTTCTTATCAGATGTGATGATGGGAGCCTAATAGGTGGGTCATAACAGCTACTACTACAGTGACATAAAAAGGCACAAATATATGTTTCTCCACCAGTTGTCTGGAGTTCAAGCCCTACCACTGATTCAAAAGGTGACCTTAGGCAAGTTTTTTCACTTTAATGACCCTCAGTTTTCCAGACTATAAAACAAGAGTATAGAGAGCTGGACTACATAGTTCTAAACTTTTGGGAGTCATGGAAGTTTGATAATCTAATAAAACACACAAATGCAGAACTACAAAAAATGTGGAATGTGAAGAAATGTCAACGAGAACTTACAGCTAGTACATGGTGTCAATATTCACATTCACTGATGAAACACAGGTACACTTGCATGCATTCACATACAGTACCATATATGGTCACACAAATAACCATGCATAGGAACCTTCAGCATGGAAGGATGTCCTTTGTCCACTGCAAGTCTGAATACAATAAGGACCTCCTTTAAGTTCCTTCTCAGATAGGTGTCAGCTTGAACTCATTATCTAAAGAGAAAACTCTCCTGTGCAAGAAGCCCAAAATGGATAAAGCACATTGTAAATTTGGAAACATTCTCAGGAGAGAACACAGTACAGACCTTCAGTATACAATGAACCAAAGTTCAAAGGTGGTGACTTTGAAGATTTTAGACAATTTAATCCGGAGGGAAAAAAAAAAGTTACCAACATTCCACTAACAGTTTCTATATTACAATGTAATTTTCATCTTATTTAATTCTCAAAATCTTCTGAGATAAGGATTGCTTTCCCCAGTTTGCATGTAGGGGGCATAGACAAACTACCTAAAATGAATCTTGGCTCCAATTTTTCTAGTCGTGAGTTCTATTTCTCTAGCTTTAGTATCTTCATCTTTAAATGGAACTAATATTATTAGCTACCTCGTAGAGTTTTAAGGATTAAACGAATTGAGATCTGTGTGTGCATAAAACATAAATAAGGGTTTAAGTGCACAAATAAATTATCAAAAAGTATTAGTTGCTATTATTATTATTACAGATGAGAAAATAAGTTTTAAAATGAAACTTGCCAGATATTGTAAAATGTTGCCATTTCCAATACATACTTGAAAATCTCCCTATATGGTGATACGCACTAAGTACAAAGGCACATGTACACAGATATGGAATGCACACGCTCCAGGATGAGATTGTTCTCTCCTTGGAAGCAATATGGTATAACGTAAAGAACCAGAATTTTTTACTCAAAGTTAGATTCGAGTTCAGTATTTAGCTATGTTTAAGTGAGATAATCTTATCTAGCATCTGGGACTTCATAAGCACCTGACAAATACTTGTTTTGATTATATTCAATTATTGAATCTCTTTAATTTCATCTCCAAAGCTAAATATGCCATTGCTGTTATTATTGCTGTTGTTTTTAATTTTTAAAATTTGTTATATAATTTGATTTTTACATATAAGAGAAGAAAAAAGAGCAAACCCATAAAATTCCTTTAAAATGACTTGTATATTGCATGGAAAAGTGGAAAGTGATCAGACACACCCACACCCACACCAGGTTAGAGCACACTATTTATGTGACCTTCAGCAAGTCAGTTAATTTCCTGAGTCTCAGTTTCCTCATCTCTTAAACAGGGATAATCTTTGCTTTGAGCTCCTCATTCTTTTGCTAAGAAGATCAAATTAGATGGAAAATGTGAAAGCTGTGTCAATGTTTCACTATCTTTTTTTCTTCAGCTGATCCCACAGGAAAGAGACCGACTGAGGGAAAAGAAAAGGAGAAATAAAATAGGTAGTATGAGCAAGACTCCTGAGAAAAACTAAAAAAGAAAAAAATATATGAAGTAAAAAGGAAGATAAAAGGAAAAGACACTTGCAGGAAGAAAAAGAGAAAGTAAGTTTCTGAGTTACTTGGAATTAGACATAGTTTAGTTAGTGGACACAGATATTGCTCCAATCTAGGAACATAGTCAGGCACCACAAAATCAAGTCTTCCCTTCCTTTACTTTACCTTTCTGTCATTCCACTGTCACTTTGGCCTGGTCCCCATCATCCATGACAATTTGCATCACTGTTTTTCCTATAATTTGCAAGTTGTTTCTATAATGCTCTTTTCTCTCCTTCCATCACCCTCTCTGAATTGGCTACAGTGGACTGGATAGGTTCATTCTAGACAAAAGATCATTTTCATTTTCACCTATCTCAGTCTCAGTTTTCTCATCCAAAAATGAGTGTATTTACTTCACAAAATTCTTTTGTGACTCATACAAAATAACAGATATCTGAGCCCGTAGAAAGATTCGCTTAGCATATAAGAGAATGCTCAGTAATGAAAAACTGAAAACATTATAGTTCACATCCTTGAAGCTTTTAGAAATAATCTTTTTCAACTCCTTTGATGTTATATACAGAAAATCGAGACCAGAAAGGTGAAAGAGTTTGCTCAAAGTCACACAAGAAGTTACTGGCAAACTTAGAATTTGAATTCATGTTTTCTGAAAGGTTTCTGCTATTTAGATATTAAGAGTGAAAAAATTCAGATTTTTAAAAAAATCTTAGTTCAGTTATTTTTATCAGTTATTTTTACTGACTTACTGTGCCAATCTGGTTTAAAAATATGTAACCAAGCACGGTAGTTTTTAAGTGTTCAAGCTTCCCCTTTATTTGATTCTCAGATCTATCACCTCAGTAAGTCCCCCAACCCATGAGACAGAAAATGAGCAAGGTGCTTTGACAGGGAAATGAACTATTCTGTGATCCTAGGATTGTGCCTGAGTCAAGCCTGTACGGTCCTGGCCATTCTGGAGAGAAATAAAAGGAGTCTATTGTTTCTTTTAACTTCCCTGCACACCCAGCCAAACTTCCTCCAACTTCTATGCCACTGACTCAAACTTCCTCCAACTTCTCTGCCACTGACTTTATCTCTCAGTTGCCTAAGAATTCCCTGACCGATGGGGGGAGGGCGGGGGGTTGGGGGGAGGAAGCTTACCTTTGCTAGAGAAAACTCTTCCATATTCAAGTCAGCGCCCATGGATGCTGAACTGCAGACCCCAGTCTGAGCCTGCTAGCCTTGTTCAGTGAGTATCTTGGGTTACAGGACCTTTTTCATAACTTAAGTCTGAGGCTCCAATATGGCCGGGGTTACTGGGGTGGGGGAGTGGGGGAAGGGCAGTGCTGGATGCCCTCTTTTTTCTTTCTTTTTTTTTTTTTTTTTTAAAAAACAAACTTCTTTCCTGTTCCGGTTTGTTGTAAAACCCGGAAGGTTCTTTGACCATATCCGGTGTTTTACAAATCCTGGTTAGGATCTCAGGAGGAATTGCAAGGGGGTGGGCTGCACTTCTGTTACCGCAGCTTCCTATTTGGTCTTTGCTGAGACGGGTTGGAGAATATACTGTCAGTGTGGCCAGCCAAA